GTTAAGAGCAGTGCAAAAATATATATATGGTGCGAAAATGCAGTAGAAAATGTTTTTTCAGTTGAGTCCTTTTTGTTTGGTTTTATCAGTGTGATGCAGAGTCTCAATTTGTGACTTGATTTAGAGTTAATTTTTTCAACAGTTCAGAAATCTGATGGCAGTGGGGAAAAAGCTATTACAGAATCACAGAGAGCTGCAACAAGCCACTGCCTACAGACGCAGCCAACACGGCTCTACATGTTCACCTCGCTCCTTTTAGCTGCTCAGAAAGAGAGATGTTTCAGGAGTTTTACCCACGAGTTTAAACACCTCTAGGTGTTACTTCCTGAAACAAATCAAGAGCATTTTGGTTAAGGCTCTAGCTTTTAGTGTCACTATGAGATGTCCATCATTCTAAACCAACCTGAGTGAAGCTAAAAAAAATGATCAAACTGTTAACTGACTGGTGGTGTTTGCACCAAACAGATCCATTTATTCTGTCCTGAAACTGTATCACCTGATTGAAGGCTCGGGACTAATGACGTTCTCGATCTACATCCTTTCCCTCTCACAGAGAGTTTGCCAAATCCATAAAGAGGCCGTTCTCTGTGTACTACAACCCCTATACGCAGAGCGTGGACCTGCTTAAAGACACGCGAAGCATCGAGAATGTGGTGCAGGACCTGCGCAGCGACCTCACCACGGTCTGCGACGCCCTCGGCAAGATGAACACCTACCTGGGCATCTAAGGCCAACACCAGAAAAATGATCCAGAAATAAGTAAAAATTTCTTAAATTAAGTAGGTACATGAAATAGTTTGCCAATGGAAAGAGTATTTTTACTCTTAAAATAAGAAAATTACATAACATGCACAAGAAATAAGACAATGTGATTGTGTTTTCTTATTTTAAAGGAAAATTGTCTTGTTCCATTGGCAGAGTGTCTCTTTTACCTCCTCAATCCAAGAATAAATACACTTGTTTTAAGAAAAATGACTTATCCACATTTCAATTTTTTCCAGTGAACGCCCTGGAAATCAATGGAGCTTTCTTTGGTCAGCTTCACCTGTTTAACTTTATCCATTAATCAATCAATCTCTGATCGGGTCCAAACAGGTGGTTCTGATCCAGTCTCTTCCAGGTTACTAAGCTGCTTCAAGTGTTTGTTGTAACTTTCAGTCCAGGGTTCCTCCTGTCAACACGTCGGAGTTCATCCAGTTAATGTGGTCCTGTATGCTCTGTTCATGTAAATGGTCTTCAGATGATTTCTGCTGTAAAAATAAAGTGAAGAATCTCCTCCACTCTGATGGTTTTTCCTGAAACTGATCCTCAGTTCATGAATCAATAGGCATGGGAGCGATCCTCCTATATTCATAAGACCATGAGAAAGGAGCTGATAAGAATCATTACCCAGATAATGAAAAATGTAGATGTAAGAAAATAGTGGGATGAATAAATACATTAATTTATTCATAAAATACCTAAAAAGTTTGAATATATTAGCCAAAGACTTTGCTAAACAAAAAAGTAGGGATGCACGATATAATCGGCCCCCTATCGGTATCGGCCTGTATCGGCCTTAAAACTGAATATCGGACATCGATATTTGATCAGCTTCTGAGTTTCTAAAGTCTAAAAAAAAAGAATACTACTACTTCTTCCTCAAAAACTTCTTTTTTAGACTTAAAAAAACTTCTAAAGACGAGGGAAAAAATATTGATCCATTAAAATATCCCAATATCTTCATATGCTGATATATTGCCATTTAAAAACACCATATCAATCTCTTTTACTAATGAAA